TCCAAGGCACATCATAGCCAGACTGGCAAAAACAACAGACAAAGACAAGATACTAAAGTTGGCAAGAGGGAAATGTCAAGTTACTTACGAAGGTCACCCCATCAGGCTAACATCGGATCTCTCAGTGGAGGCAAGGAAAGAAAGAAAATATTGTCAAAGTGTTGAATGAAAAACAATGTCAACCAAGAAGACTGTACCCGGAAAGATTACCTTTCATATGTGAAAAAAAGATAAAAAAGCATTCTGGGATAAACAAAATTTGAAGGAATTACCAACTACAGACCAGCTCTTCAAGAGGTTCTGAAGGGAGGGCTATACCAGGAAAACTAAAAAGTCAGACAGACAGTTATATAACAAAAAGCAACCAAGAAAATGGCTCACATAATGATAGGAACAGGTACAGAAACATCAAAAATTACATTGAATGTAAATGGATTAAATTCTCCAACTAAGACACATAGACTGGCCAAACGGATAAAAAAACAGAAACCCTCTACTTGTTGCCTACAAGAAACTCACCTTATGGATAAAGACATAGATAGATTAAAAGTAAAGGGCTGGAAAAAGATATTCCATGCAAATGGAAATCAAAAAAGGGCTGGAGTAGTGATATTGATTTCAGACAAAATAAATTTCAAGACAAAGACTGTAAGAAGAGACAAAGAAGGGCATTATATAATAGTAAATGGGGTAATCCGGCAAGAAGACATAACACTTATAAATATCTATGTATTCAACTCAGGTGCACCTAAATATGTGAAGCAATGACTGCTGGAGCTAAAAGGAGAGGTAGGGAGACATATAATTGTTGGAGATCTCAACACCCCATTATCTCCTTCAGACAGATATTCTAGGCAGAAAATAGAGAGATTCAGGACCTAAATGATGCTATAAATCAAATGGGTTTGACAGATATCTTTAGAACTTTTTACCTTAAGTCCAAAACATATACATTTTTCTCACTCCAGCATGGAACCTTTTCAAAGATTGATTAGGACACTAATCAAGCCTTTACAAATTCAAAGACATAGAAACTGTATCCAGCATCTTTTCTGACCATGATGGAATTAAACTCAAGATTAATTTCAAGAAACACCCGAAAATACACAAACACATGGAAACTGAACAACCTGCTTCTGAAGGACTTCTTCACTACTGAAGAAATTAAGTCTGAAATCAGAAAATGTTTGAAAACAAATGAGTACACAAGTGTCCATAATCTATGGGACACAGCAAAATCAATCACAAGCTGGAAATTCATAGCAATTAGTGATCATAAGAAAAGGATGGAAAGGTGGCAAATAGATAACCTATCATCATGCCTCAGGGAATTGGAAAAGCAACAACAAACAAACCCAAAAAATGCCAGGCAAAAAGGAATAATAAAGGTTCAAGCAGAAATAAATGAAATAGAAAATAAACGAACCATACAGAAAATAAATGAAAGCAAAAACTGGTTCTTTTAAAAGATTAACAAGATTGACACACCATTGGCTAGACTGATCAAGAAGAGTGGCGCCTGCCCCGACCGGGTCCGCGCTCCGTATCCTCCCGGGGCTAGCACCTGCTCCGGCCATGATGAGCTTCGGCGCCGCAGACGCGCTACTAGGCGCTCCTTTCGCGCCGCTGCATGGAGGCGGCAGCCTGCACTATGCGCTGTCCCGCAAGGGCGGCACGGGAGGGTTGCGCTCGGTGGCCGGCTCCTCCAGCGGCTTCCACTCGTGGGT